TTCAGGGAGCGTGATGAGGGGTGCACAGCATGGGGTGCAGCGTGTGGAGGGGTGTGGGGCACAGGGTGTAGGGTGTGAGGCTTGGGGAGCCCATAGGGGTGGAGTTGTAGGGTACAGTGTCCATGGTGTGGGCACAGGGAGCGTGGGGTGCGTGGCACAGGGTGCAGGGTGATGGGTGCACAGTGTGGTGTGGGGCACCCAGCACACGATGCTCGGTGTGCACAGCACGGGGTGCCCAGTGCATGCTTTGGGGTGCATCGTGCACCCTGTGAGGTGCATGGCGGGGGTGTGCAGGGTGCATTTTGTGGGGTGCAGGGTGCGGGGGCAGCAGGGCTGTGGGGTGCGGGGTGTGAGGGGTGTGCGGGGTGTGCGGGGTGCAGGACAGGAGGTGCGGGGTGTGGGAGGTGCAAGGGGCAGGGTTTGGGGTGCAGGGTGTGCGGGGTACCAGGTACAGGGTCTGCACGGTGCAGGATGTGCGGGGTGCTGGGTGCAGGGTAGAGGGGGCTGGGAGGGCCATCAGGTGCAGGGTTGTGGGGTGCAAAGCGCAGGGCACAGGACTGGGGGGGCCGAGTGCTGGCTGGGGGGCCGGGGGATGCCGGGTGTGGGGGCTGGTTGCAGGGGACTGGGGGGGTGCTGGGTGTGCGGGACAGGGTGTGGGGTGCAGGGTGCGGGGTCCCGGGTGTGGGGTGCAGGGTGTGGGGGGCCGGGGGCCGGTTGCGGGGGGCCGGGGGGGCCGCGGGGGAGGCGCCAGCCGGCACCTGTTGCTATGGCAAACGCTGCATTCGCCATGGCCGGGGCTGCTGTTGCCTTTGGCACCGGAGCTGCAATTTGTTTCTAGAGCTTTCCAGCCGCAGCCGTTCCCAGCGGCGGGCGGGGGGCTCGGGCGGGGGCTCGGGGGGGCCGGGGCGGGCAGGACGCGGCTCTCGGCACCTCTCCCACCCCGACACATCCCCCCGGCCCGCGGCCCGTGCGGCGGGGGCTGCCGAGGGGCTGCAGCTGCCCCCCGACACAGGCACGGGGACCCCCGGGATTTGGGGTGCTGGGCCGGGGGCTGGGGGACAGATGGGGGAGCTCAGCCCCGCGTGCCCCAGTGCCCCCTGAGCGGCCCCTCTCGCAGGCTGGGCTGGGGGGAGGATGCGGGCAGGGGGAGCGGGGGGTGGGTGCAGGCTGGGGGGGAGGGTTGGGGTGCGGGGTGTGAGACCCGGGGGTGCAGGATGCCAGATGGGGCTGTGGGGTGCAGGATGCACCCCCAGGCACAGCGCTGTGCCGGCCAGCGGGCGCTGGCGAGGGGCTCCCCGGCCCCTTCCCTCACCCGCTGGGGGAGCCCCCGGGGAAGCCCCGGCCCCATCCCTGGCACCATCCCCTTCCTGGCACAGGGTGCCCACGCCAGCACACGGGCATACTCGGGCCAGGCCCGGCTTTTGACCCCTGGGCACAGCGATGCTCGGTGAGGGGCCAGGGCTGGCACCCAGCAATCCCGCATGCCCAGGACACCGCTCCTGGCCCCCCTGTCAGCGGCTGTGCCACCGGCCCCCCGGCACGGCACGGCACGGCACGGCACCTCGGCCCCACGTTGCCCCGCCAGTCGCCTCCCGGGGTGCCGCTGGAGGAGCCCCCCACCATGCCTGAACCCCCCGGGGACCCCGGTCCTGCCGCACCTCGGCACGGCCCCGGGGCGGGCACGGTACGGCACGGCACGGCACGGCACGGACACGTGCAGCCGGGAAGCACCGGGGGACACCGCGGCGGCACCCAGGGGGATCCCCGGTGCCCGGGGGTCCCGCTGCCGGGGGTCTCTGCCGGCACCCCGGGGCCCCACGGCAGCGCGGACCCTCCGGCAGCCCCGGGGGGCGGCTGAGCCCCCCCGGCCGCCCGCTGCGGCGGCGGCCGAGCCCGCTTGGCGCTGCCGAAGGGGCAGCTCGCGGCTTTGAATCGCTTCCAGCCAACATGGTCTCCAAATGCTCTAAAAATAGTTGTTCTGCGCACAAACCCCGCGGCAGCCCCGGCCGCCGAACAAAGCCGGGGAGCCGCCGCGGCCCGGCCGCCTCCCGCTGCCCACCCCCGCCGGAGGGGCCGTGCGGGACCGCGCCGGTGCTCCCGGAACGCTCCCCGCGCTCTTACCGGGCTGCGCTCGCCCGCCGCGGCGCTGCGGGACGGGATGGGACGCGGGGCTCGGCACCGTGCCCTCCTCGCCTCAGGCCGCCGGTACCGTCCTTGGCGGCATCCCCCGGGCTCGCCGGCGCTGTCGGACCCGCGGGGGAGGAAGGAAGGAAGGAGCGGCCGCCGGTCGCCGTGGCCGGCTGTGTCCCCGGCGGCGCTGACCCTGCGGCCGGGGCGAGCGGGGCCCCAGCGCAGCCCAGCCCAGCTGGCGGTGCCGCTCCCGCACGGCAGGACCGGCGAGTCACGCTCGCCGCGGCGGCAGAGGCGTTCCGAACTGGGTTACCTGCGCCGGCTGGGCGAGACACGCGGCAGCCACCGGCACGAAAATGGAAAACCCACCCGAAATCCCGCCTTTTTTTTTTTTTTTTTTTTTTTTTTTAATATATATATAAATATATATATATTTAGGGACCTCGGCGGTGCCGTGCCGCAGCCGGGAGCCTGCAGGGACCTAACCGGCCATTTTAGGTGACGGCGAGCGGGGTCCCCCGCAGCCCCCCGCGCCGGTGGCGAGCGGGGCGCACCGTCACCGCGGTGTCCCCCCCTCCCGTCCCGAGGTGACCCCGCGAGCGGCGGTGACGCCCCCGCCTTGGCCGGGGTCCCTCGTGCGCCGGCGGCGCTGGGGACGCACGAGGGACCCCGGCCAAGCGCCTCTCCCGTGACAAGTGCCGCAGCGTATTATTATTGTTGTTGTCACTTTGAGTCACTGCCACCACCGCGCTCCTCCTCC